TATTATACAAATTGCAGTTTCTACATGGCAGCAAAAGAAAATAAACCATATAAGGAGAGCTGCTATGAAGCTTTACGAGCCACTAAACAGTCGAAAATTGCTGATTTTTTTGCCACGCAAGGGGAGCCACCATATAAAAAATGTTAATTACTAAAGGTGCTATAAATGCCACTAAATGAATTTTCATTTTATTTTAATACATATGTGTTCTCTTTTTACTTTTGAAAACTTTTGCCATTTGAATAAACCTTTTTATGTTTTTGAAACTAATAAATTTTCCGCATTTTCCGAAGTTTAGGAACGTAGCCCCTCATTTTGTATGAAAATACATGGCTCGTTTAACGCGATTTCGCTTAACACGGCGTTTTCAAGTGTTTTCAAGCCCGCGTTAAGCGAGGGCTAGGTGTATTAGGAATTAATTATATTTTATTTATCGACTAAAGCACCGTCAAAGTTTTAACTCAACTTCGCGCTGCAATTTCTTCATATGTACATTTGTGGCCTTTAATGTAAAAGTTGAATATATTAAGTATGTATATTTTGCAATGGAAACTAACGGCTTGCCATTTCGCTTAGAATAAACAGTTATTTATAGGGCCTGTCTATTTTCACTGACCACAGCGACCTGCTGATGGCCAGGTCAGCCCATGCCGAAGGAATGTGTCAGGTAGCCAAATGATAGGCACTGGTTGCAAAAACTATTCGCAAAATGTTGTATTTTTGTTCTAGTGGTCTTGTTTTTGTTGTTGTTTGCTGTACTTGTGCGAATGTAATGCGAATAACTCAAATTTGTTGCGAATTTGGGTAAAAATATTCTGAAATTAATTAAAATGGTCAACAATTGAAATTTGAGTAAAACGTGTGTGTAATAAATATATAGTATTCGCCAAATAAAATACTTGCTGCATCTTTTGAAGTATGTGTACTTCATGCCACACACACACACACACACACATTAATCTACACACACACACACACAGACACAAACTTACACATGCACATCATTGCAGCGCTGCGACTTTAATTGCTTTTGTGGTTTGTGCCAAATTAGATTCTGCGGTTTGGCGTGCAACGCACACGGGTGTGACAAGTGGCAGCAACAAGAACAGATGCACCAGCAACAGCAGCAGCACCACCACCATCAGAAATAGCACCAACTTGGCTGGTGTGGCCAAGTTGCAGCTTACCCAGTTGCTTTGGATGCTGTGAACTTGACGCGAAGGCGCGACGCACATCAATTAAAGTTGTCAATGACAACGAGCGAGCTCAGCCTTGAACGGAGAAAATTAGAGTAGCGTTTCGAGCTGACCATTTACTTATTCCACTTGCCGTTCCCCGGCCTTTGCCCAGCCAGCACCACCATCACTAGCGCCACCGGCGGCCGCAGCAACAACAACAACGATGGCAAACATTCTAACATAAAATGGTCGTTGCCGCAATCAAATGGCAAGCCATATCCCAAAAAAAAAAAAAAAAAAAAACAAGTAAAAAAGCTAAAGTCGGGTGTCCCGACTTCGAAATACACACACATAATAACTAACTGGGGGTATTTCCAAAATTTTAGTTCGAAATTCCAAGAATTACGGGATTTACGATTTGCGGGGTAGAGGGGGGAGGGAGGGGAATTCCAAAATATACATTTTCTGCGTATTCACATAAGGCATCTGGGACTAAAATTTGGTGTTCCTAGGTCTTATAGTCTCCGAGATATAGGCGATTATACGAATGGAAAATCGGGAAAACCCCCATAGGGGGGAAGTGGGGGGGAAAATCAAAAAAATAAAACAAACTCGTATAGAATACACACATAACGCATCTTCGTGCAAAATTTGGTGTCTCTATCTCTTATAGTCTCTGAGATCCAGGTGTTCATACGGACGGACAGACGGACAGACGGACAGACAGACAGACAGGGCTAGATCGACTCGTCTCGTCATGCTGATCAAGAATATATATACTTTGTGGGGTCTGCCACGCCTCCTTCTGCCTGTTACATTTTTCAGCTCCCGCAAACCTAATATACTCTTGTACATTTCATGTACAGAGTATAAAAATAAGAAAAAACGACGTATAAACAAATCAAATATATCTCGTGTACATTTTTAAATATTTTTCTAGCCGTCGGCCATTGAGGTTGTTCTCATCTCTATTATTGCTGTTGTTGTTGTCGTTATGGTTGCCCTGCCTGCCCTCACCTTTCATTTCCATGCCCCTTGTTATGAGCCATGAAAGAGATTTATTTCTGTTTACGCCAAATGTAAAAAGTTTTCGCCCAAAAAAATTCAAGTGTCCGTAAGCACTCAGCCCATCACACAGTCTCGAGCACAGTAAACACTTTAAAGAAATTGCTTTGCAAGTTTCCTAACCATTTTCGAAAATTATTCGTTATTAATACTTCAAAAATATGAAAGAATGAATATTTATTATGGACTTGGAGTCTAATTACTGATTTATGAGCTCCCCAAGCACCAACTCATGAATTCTCATGTTAGCTCGATAGCTACCAATAGTTAGTTACTTCGATAACTTTCCATCATTATTTGCGAACTACAACCAGTTGTTGTTATTCGTTTGATTTGAAATATAATAGAACACTTTTAATCTTTAGCTTAATAAAGAAAATTAGTTTATCAGCACTTCCTGTTAAAGAAGCACAAAAAAAACATTCATCTTGAATAAAAAAAAGATTTAAAAGTTTTCCACAGCCTTAGTTGTAGGGCAACTTTTATATACATTTGGCATTGTTTATTTTGCGAAAGGAACATTCACTGTAAACTACATTCCAATTTGGCTCTATGTGTAAAGTCCATCCCTGCCTGCGGCAAGTGAGCTTGAACTTGCTGCTGCTGACTTTTTATTTTGGAATATGTACGAGTATGTATATATTTTTGTAAGCCTAATGCTCTCTAATTACATTGATGCTCAGAGTCAACAGTCAAGGTAACAAGGCAATTGTTGTTGTTGCTGTAGCTACTTCTGCTCTTTTATTGGGGCTTGTTTGTTGCCTACTTTACGGCTGCTTATCATCATTTTTAACTTGAGTTGCTGCGGCTGAAGCCCACAGACGGGCCTAATTGTCGACACCGGCTGGCCAGTTCCAGTGCATTGAACTGACGCCTGAGGGCAAAGGCCGGTCAGCTTAGCCGACGACTAGAACGGCTCTGATGTTGACACCTATAGCTATATAAATTAGCCAAGAACAAGGCTAACTGTGAGTCGCGTCTTGTCGCCAAGAGCTCGAGGCGCAGCAAGCACCTGACCGAGAAATGTCAACAAATGCGAATGTGAGGTGGGGAGTGTGTGCCTTATTTTTATTATGCGCACTTTCAACAACGAGGCTTCCACATACACACACAAACACACATACACTGTTAACAAGCATTTATATTTATTTCTATTTTTCCTCTGTCTATGTGTGTGTGCGAGTTTGGAGGAAATTTATGAAGGGCGTCTGGCTGTTGGGCATGGGAAAAAAGCCACCAACAGTAAACAGCATAAAATGGCGCGCAATAAAAATAATTGCAAATTTCGAAATTTAAGTGTAGGCGTGAGTTTACGTTTAAAGTACCCACATACTCATATACTAGTACACACACATGCACACGCACTCACACTCGTGCACATGACCACATGGGCGCACAAACAATGGTTGCTGCTGTTCAGCGCTCTGTAAAATCAGCGCTCGATTTTCATTCTTTTTTCTTGTGGTTTTTTTTTTCCTCAGTATTCTGGTTGCCATTTTTTCACTTGCAGCCTGGTAAGTGGTGTGTTTGTGTGAGTGTGTTGGTGTGTGTCCGCGTGTGGTTTACAATCTGTTTCGCAACTCACGTAAAATATAAGGTAATTTGTGGAAATTTGATGTTTATCGTAAATTGTTTTTTATTTGCGCAATGTCACCATTTGTGGTTGCCACATGAACACACACACACACACATGCATATTCATAGAGCGAAAAAAAAGTCGTTGCAGACAAAGCGACAGAGTTGCCGGCGGTATTGCCATTTGAGTGGCCGTGCAAACTGACCATTTTCCTGCTTAACAACACTGACAAGGCAATAAGCTATAAAAAAGGCAGCAATTTGCATCAGGATTTTACCAATAGTTGGCGATAAAGGATAAAGTCCTGAACTATCATCTTTGCAGTCGAAATTTCAATATTAATAGAACATTTATGCTTTGGTATTGCATAGATTTTTAATGTACTTCTTAATTAAATTATACTTTGGTTCATTTTCTGATGGGACCATTACAGTTTTCAAAGTACTAATTAATTAAAAATCAATTTAGCTTCATTCAGAGTTGAACTGAGATGAAATTAAAAGCCACTATTTAGTAATAATTTGCAATTCCGGCAAGATTTGTTATACCCTCTGCTTAATAAAAGATCTACATAGCTTTTGCTGACAACAGTCAAATTTCCGAGTTATTTTTGTAAACAGCCTAATGAGTTTTAAATCTAATTAAAAATCAATGAAATATACTGCAAAATGATCGATTTAAATAAATAAATGCCTTCATGACTCTGCTCAGTTATTAAAAAAAAGCATTTTGAATAAAGCAAACCTCCGCCTTACGTTTAAGATGTTATCTAAATGTAATTTAATGTTTTTTTAATGAGCTATACAAATTTAAGCAGTTTTTTCTTCTCAATACACATAGATATCCCCATTTTTAAACTATATATTCTCCCTGCTAATTGTATGTATATATACGATTTGTACATACAGATATCCATATATCCTTACACTCCTCTACTATTCATTTTGTCTTGCTTTCCCTCTGCTGTATGAATCGCTTATGTCTACAATTGCGCTCAGGCTGGCTATAGGGCATCTTCTAGTCGAGCACTCTCGACTGCAGCATTCTTAATTGCTTTTAATTGTCACACAAACAGCACCACCCCCCCCCCCCCCCCCCCCCCCGCACACCCTCTCCACCAGACCAGACCATGAGTGGCCCGATGAGTGGCCTCACAACAATTGCAACATTTTTCAATTTACCTGCGTCAATTTTGTTGCTCCCTTGCCGCAGCTCGTCTCGCTTGCTGGTATTGTTGTTGCTGGGGCCGTAGCTGCTGCTGCTACTGCTGCTGTCGCAGTGGCACTCGACCTGGTTCGTTGCTTTCGCTTTGGCACATATAATTTTGCATAGAGTAAACAACGTTTGAGCCCGAAAAATGTAAAGCCCACTAGCAAAATGGCCGCCGCTTGGTAGACGTATGCAAAAATGTCTGCCTCCATTTTGTTTATTTGTTCGGCAAATACAAAAATAAAATGCAAGGCCTGCCCAGTTACATACAATATTTATAGTTTATTTTTATTCATGTATATATATATTTCATATATATTATATTGATATTGTATAATATATGTCTGTAGTAATAGTAATAATAATAATACCAGTATCTGCTAAAATTACAATTAAACATTAGAGTTAATATTAGTTTGCATGTTTAGCGTAAAATTCAGTAAAATTCACACACGGCAATTGTATCAATCGCTCGTGTTTCTCTCTGGCATTTGTTTAGATAAATCGGGTTCTAATAGTTTACAATCCTCAATGAGGGAGTGAGAGAGAGGGTTAAGAGATATTAAATGTATAACAGATGACGAGTTGCACATTTAATTTTAATTATGGCATAATTACATACAATATTTCATTAAGCTATTTTGATTTTTGGTTAAAAGATTCTCTTAACATTACGCTGCCCTAAATTTGGGTTAACATTTCCGAACACTTATAAGCTAATACATTGAAAGACGGCAGATGGAAAAAATACTCGTAAAACACTAATACTCGAAAGTTACAAAAAAAAAATAATAATAATAATAAATGCTAAAATCATCACGTCAAGTTGCTGAAAAAAAATCTTTATTGAAATTTTAGAAACCAATTAAGCTACGGTCAAATAGATACATATTTTGTATGAACATTTTTTCAAATGTGATGCTAATGAGTTTTTAGTCAAAATGGAACAGAAATTATATGCATGTGAAAAGCTTCTTTCCATATGTGTCTGTTTTGTACCATTCTTGAATAATTTGTCGAATTTGTATGTTTAATGATGTTCACATTAGCAGTAGAGCTACGAATGATACAAAAACACGCGAAACACACAGAAGCATAATCCAAAATGTATTGCCTAAGCAATAAGGCTGCCAAGCTCATTAAAGAAGCAGCCGATGGCAACAGAACTTTATTAAAAAAGATCTTGACTGATTTCCATTCTTAGTTGAAAAGATTCCTTTGCGATCTATGACAAGGCTTCTTTCTCACTATTAATATTTATTTCATCCGAGCTTTAACTTAACATATAGCACAAGAAAAAAAGTTAAAACGATTTTAAATTGCGGAACTATTAAAGCAACTTTGCCATTCTTACAATTCTCTCTTTCATTACCTTTCAATGCCAATTATGTGACTGTCTTCCATTGATTCCACTATTAATCGCATTTTTTCAAACACTTCAATATTTCAATATTTTCTCATTGTTATAAATATTTAAATGAATTTTTTTTATGCATATATGAAATGCTTTGCTATTGTTTAAATGTATATATACAAGATCCTTAAAATTAATAATGCATTTTAAGTAGTATTCATTTTAACTACATTTATGAAATATTTTTAATTCTTGCTTATTGGCATAACTAAAAATATCGATGCATAATTTATTCGTAAAATTGTTCAATAATGTAATCGTACATTGGCCTGCTTTTTTTGTTATTGTAGTTGCTAATCTGTTTGCATTTTGTTTACCAAATAGAATTTTGTTCTTTTTCTCACACTCGTTTTTGTAAATATTTTTGTTTCACGTTCAAAATAAATGCCTCAATTGTGTTTCATAGTCGAGTGTAAAAATGTCATAACAAATTTTTATACACATCTACGCAAACGTGTCACTTTTATATGCATATTGCGTACCTACGAGTATATAATTCACAAATGTTACTTGTTGTTTTTTTTTAATAATTTATGCATATTTGTGTTTGTGTGCAATTTTTATCACTGGTGCACAGGTAGACAGAGAATGAAGGGAGAGGCAGTAGCGTAAAATTAGAGAGTGAATAATATTTTTACAACCCACTTTATTTAAAACCGAAAATCGTTTTACATTTGACTGCTTCATCGATAGCTAGCAAGGTGCCTTAAAAGTTTCGCTAATATAAGATATTTACGGTAAATTTAAGTCTAGCCTAAGTACAAACAACTCCATGCATTCGAATTATTCAAGCACACTTATGTACATACGCAGACAAAACTATGCAACCATACTACATAATTATAAAAAAAATGGGATTAGAGCTAAATGTGTTATTCAAAAAGTAGTTGACACCAGACTAAAAAATTTACTAAGTACTTTTATTTTATAACAATTCAGAAACGTAAGCCTGTGTTTTGTAGAAAAAAGTAGTTTAGCTAATATCTCTTTTCAATTATGGATTAGAAATGTGTGCAATTTTAAATGCTTTCAGTTATAATTCATGGGCTGTTGCCATAAAGCTAGAATTATGAGGACAAATTTGTTGTGAAAAGCTATTGGTTATCATATAGGGTTTGTGTTTCTAAAATTGTAGCTGCCTTTTACAAAAAACTACTTTTTATCTTGCACAGTCAACTTTTTAGTATGGTGTCATAAGGTCAGGAGAATTTATTTCAGAGTTCAAAAGTTGATTCAGAAATGGAACAACAAAGAAAACTGCAATATAATATCAATTTCATATTTAAATATTCGCTTGGATTTAATGGATTTAATTTTAGTTCAGAGTTACAATATATGAAATGATATTTGTAAAACCTTCACCATGGCTGCCTTACTCCAACTAAATGACAATACAAAAGTTACCGCTAGATGGCAGTGTATGAAGATCAGGGCTGCATTTGTAATTATATCGAACGAAATTTTTTACTCAGGGGCTAATGAATGGCTTTCGATTAAGCTAATTGCCATTATTCTTACTTAACATTGCTGATATCTCATCTACACATCTATACATTCTGCATATTTTCTGGCTTGTGTATTTTAGTCAAATTCTATCTGTGTTTGCTGCTGTGATGTTTGGATTCGTATATGTAACACTATATTATTTTATTTGTTTATTGGCTCTCACGGAGTAATTTAAAAACGTTTTTATGTGGGCAGCTTAAATTTAAATTGCATTTGTTGTTGTTGCTGCTGTATTACGTATTATTTGTATTCTATATTCATCATTTTTGTTTTGAATGCTAGGAGATTTGCTATTTTCAATCATAATTCCTGGTATTTGTGATTTATATGCATCTAAAAATGGCTGCAAACGCTTTACCATTTTCCATTTCCCCGTCCCATATTCGTTTTTCATAGCTAGTTTGGACTTTGTTTTGGTTGCAGTGGCAGCTTTAAATAGGCTTGGCTTAGATATTAAATGGAATAACTGTGCATTTGGTAGGAGGCAGTGGGTATGGTGTATATTTACAAGCGCCAATTAGGCCGCAAAAATGCTTAAAATAAATTGAAAACTGTGTGTACGCTGATTTTTCCATTGCGAGAATGCAATGGAAATTAATTTACAAATTTATACAATTTGGCCAATTTAATATAAACGAGCGACGGTCGGCGCCACTTTTGGCTTTGTTAATTTGTAATTAAAATTTTGTTATTACAGACGACAAGTGCGGCCGAAATCGTTGCAACAATTGAAATTAGCAGCGCAATTAGTTGATCATTTGCATTGTTGTCAAATCGACAATGTCAATAAAAATGCGATAATTTTGGTTGAGCGGGACGGCAGGGCTTAATGAGCGTTTGCACGCTTTTGTCTTTCGCTTCGTGTGGGCGTGCGTGCGTGTGTGTGTGTGTGTGTGTGTGTGTGTGTGATTGTTTGTCTGTCAAAGTTTTTCTGAAATGCAATTAAAATGCCATTTTCCCAATTGTTTGCATGTGTGTGTGTGTGTGTGTGCTTTGCCAATTAGAATGCCGTTTTGTCCTAACTGTTTATTTGATTTGCGAAATTTCCATATGCCATATACACATACAGGCATATGCGTATGTGCGGTGTAGATTTCGAGTCGCCAATGGGTCAGAAATGATTTTGGCGCGTTGTTGCCGCCGCCGCAACCTCAAAGGTGGCTTTTGTGTTTGGATAATGGTTTTTGGTTTTGTGGCCAAGCTATTTTTACATGTTTTGACCGAAATATGATACATTTCTGTTTGCTTACATTTATATATTTGTTGCTGTCACAAAATATGCGCCAACGACCACACGGTTTTGGCCGCAATTACCAAATTAATGAAAAAATGTTTTTCCTCGGCGATTTAATATCAAAACCGATGTCGTATACATGCTTGAGTACTTTTAAAATCAATGAGCCTTGTGAATTCTATGGTACAAAGTGCTTTTGGAGTTTTATTTTACAATCATTTTTGTCTTAAGCATATGTTATATGCATTTTGTTACGCTGTTTGTGTTTTCTTTTGGTCGTATTATTTAGGGTTAGAGATACCTTAAATTAATTTTCCTGTTACTTTTGTTATTTATTAATTTGGTTTTTGTTGTTGCTGCTGCTACTTAACTCCTAAGAATTGAATAAAATGCTTGTTTTTGGTTTGTCCAATTTACTTACTTAACGCTTATGTCGAAAACATTTTGTATTCATTCCTTTTTTCTATGGTTCATATTTCGGCTACGGTTTAGTTGTTGTATTTGGTTATGTTGCCCAACTGGCAATTAGTTTAATTTGCCAAATCCTGTATTATGTCTGCTGCAATGAGAGTGAAAGAGAGGTGGATATTTAGTATGCAATAAATTGTTGGCTTGGGGAAATCAATATTCGGTTATTCTCTTTATTGTGCTTAGCTCGATTTAGGCCTATTAATAAATTATGTATAATTGTTGCAATTTGTAATTTATTTATAAAATTGACATTTAAATAAATTAGGTATTAAATGTTTTATTTTATTTAATACCATATTCTATTGCAACTGTCTTCATACCTCCAGCTTCGAAGCTCAGATTTGGTATTTTTCTAGCACAGGACTGGATATTTTGTAATGGTTAAGGTGGGACGAATATTAGGATTTTTGTTCCGATTTGTTAGTTGCAAATTGAGCCCCAATCTTTTGTGACTTTTGTAGTTTGCAGTTCTAGGTTTTCGACCTTAGCTTGGAAACACTGTCTTGTCGACAACAGTTGGATTAGTTTTTGCTTCAACTGGTTTCTGACTCTGTTTTAGTAAAACTTGTTGGAAAACACTTTCTTCTTACCTAAGTCTCGTGATCTCAATTTTGTTTTGTTGAATCAAATGTTGTAAACAAGACTGATTTGAACAGGATGGACTCATTTTATTTATGTGGAATAAGTATAGAAAAGTGTTTCCAATATTTGTATGCTGCGTTATATTCCTAAGATAACACCATACTATAAATTGGTTTCATTTAAGCACTAAATTCAGTTTGATTTGTATTATTTTTTTTGAGGCAGCTTTGAGATTCGTTGAATTGAGAAATACTGCTGAAAGCTGCTTGCATATATTTGCTTGCGCTCCAAATGCATTCAATCAGCGTAGACCAAATGTGGCATGACATTCCAAGTATCTCTCTGTCTCTCGCACTCTACTTTCCTATTATGCTCTGACTCTAAAGCCTCGGAACATAATCAACACTCAACGCCCATGCAAAACTCAATTCAAATGCCAACACACTCAACGTCGCGCTATCTACAAAGGTAAGAGTGTATAGGTACTGCATACTGCAATACACACAAACATATACTATACATATATATATATATATATATATATAGACTACATGCGAATTGCACACGTGTGTGTGGAGAGGAGTGTGTCTGTGTGTGTGAAAAGTCAACTTTTGTCAACTTTTTGTGCGCATTGTGTGCAAATGTCTCGTTGATTTTGCGCAACACTTTTGCTTTTTGTTGCCGTAACCGTCATCGTCGTCGTCGTCGTAGTCGTCGTCATCGCTTCTTCTCTCTAGCGTTAACAATTGCAAGTTTTGCATAAATACATTTCGCATTTGCCACGCCATGCCACGCACACTCCAATGCTGCTGATGTCGCTGCACTTCAAGTCAAGTGGAAGTGAAAATCGTCGTTTGCGGTTGCCACGCACACACAAAAACTTTTGCATACTTTTATGCGCACGCATTGAAAATTTATCTACGCGCAGCGAAGTTTGTTTGGCAAATACGTTTAGCTGTGGGTGTTGGTGCTCAGCTGAGTTTAGTGCGAGTTAAATGGGTTGGGCTGGGCTTAGCTGGGTTCTGCTCGGTGGGGCTAGTTCAGTTTTGTGATTGCATTGATGGCTGTTCAAACAATTTAACTAACTGCTGCTGTCTACCAAAAACAAAAAAAACTCAATTAAAATTAGTGGGATATTTTCATTTGCCTTTGTTGCTGAGACGACGGCGCAAGTGTGACATGCTCGCTTGAACTTTATGGCCCTTGCTTGTTATGTTTCATTACCTAATAAACATTTTATGCTTTGCGACTGGTGGTGGTGGTGGAGCTCGTCAGCACTGCCTTTCTGGTCAAATTGCTATCATGTTTGAAAGCTGCATTTTCAGCAAACACACACCTATACTACCTATATACATATGTAGTGAGAGAGAGGGAGGGATTGACAGACTTCTGTCTGTGCACGCACACATGACCCATAATTATTAACATGCTCTACCGGCTACCAGTGTACCAAATTGCTAGCGTAGCAGATTGCCTTTTTTGCCCTTTGCCTGCGGTGCTTCCTGCATTATTGTTTTCGTTTTTCAAACTACAGTCAAACTTTTATAAATTGAAAAACAAATCTTTTTATAATTTAATTAATCGTTAGTTTTTGATTATACTGCGAACAAAAAAGCTGAATACCCTTACTTTGTTTCCAAAATCCATTCAAAAGTAAGCAATTATTGTTCAATTATTATTAAAATTTGTTTTTTAATTGTTATTTGCATGTATTATTAAACCACAACTGTATGGACATATCGACCTTATTTATATGGAATATAAAAGTTTGGTTATAAATCACAGCTATACCGTTATATATCTAATGCAAACCGATCATACAAGGTGCGTTCCAAAGTAAACAGGACTTTTTGAATTTAGCGCCAGCTGATGGCGCTATCTATATGTCGACTGGTGCGTTAGAATCTGCTGTCTTTATCGATTGTCCCGTGAGAATTTCATGACATTTCATCGATTGGAAGTGAAGTTATTGCGTTTTAAGTGTCAGTATGTTTGTGTTATCGGTGCGAAAATGAGCTTCGAACCAATACGACGTGAGGACATAAATGACGATCAACATGTGGGCCAATCAAATTTCATGATCACCGAAAATTCCATCAAAACTGTGCGTGAATTCATCAAAAATCAGCCGAAATCATCATTGAAGTTGATGGAAATGGAATTGAACATCTCCAAAACATGGATTTATTGCATTTTGACCGAACATTTGGGCTTACGAAAGGTGTGTGCACGGTTTGTTCCGCACAAATTGACTGACGACCAAAAATTGCTCTCATCGATCGACGCTTGTGACCGAATATTTGACCAAAAATCACATTTTAACCATTAACCACTCGCCGTATTCACCTGATATGGCACTTCTACCTTTTCGGACTTCTACCTTTTCGGACTTCTACTTTTTCGGGAAAATGCATTTGCCCATGAAAGGAAAGCGTTATGCAGGCGTAGAGGCCATTCAAAAGGCTTGCACCGGCATACTGGCGGCCATACCGGCCAACGAGCTAAAACACTCGTTCGACATGCTTTTGGATCGTGCAAAAAGCTGTATTAAAGCAGAAGGAGACTATTTTGAATAAAATAAATTTTTTTTTTTTTTTTTTTAAACTCCTGTTTACTTTGGTACACTCCTTGTATATGGATGAAGTCGAAATAAATGGAAATTCCATTACCGATAACATAAAAGTTAGTCACGATATTTGTCTAAAACATATATTGATAAAATCAATATTGAAATGATTTATCAAATATATGTACTAACTACAATTACCTGTAAGAACAATATCTCATTTCAAGATTTCATTTCATTCATTTCATACACTTATAGATAATATAACTTGTGGATTATAATGATTATTAACTACCAGCATAACATAAAATTTCAATAAAGTATTTTTATCGATAATTAATCGGTAATATTTAATGACGTTCGTTCAAAATTGATAAACATAAAAATTTTATATAAACTAATAGGAATTGAGTAAAATCTAATTTTTAAAACAGTTTCTGAAACTGATTATGATTTTTGACAGATTGTTATATTTCAGAAGTGGATAAACGGGACAATTTTCGGTTTCTAATTGCAATTTAAATATTCAGGTGCTCACAATATTTTGCGTAAGGGAAACAGCGTGCTTATGCTTATTATTAAATATATATCAGACTTCGCGTTGATATCTATATTTTAAATAGTGTGGCAGGAATTTCAATATTTCCTTATTATCCTATGAACTATTTTTCTTCAAGTTGTTAAATCAAGGAATCTCAAAATGTATTAACAATACAAAATATGAAATCACCTTATTAATATTTTTCTAAAGTAAGTTTGACTGTATTGTTGTTTTTGTTGTTAATATGCACATCCTGCTGCTCATCGGCACCGTAAGCGTTGCCACCATCGTTACCGACGTCCTTGTTGTCGTTGCTGGATGTGTTCATAAAACATGCTCGACCGCAGGTATGTTGACGTTCCTCTTAGCCCTTTACCCTTCCCTTGGCATTTCCTTAACTCTGTTGCTTACCATTCTGTGCGCTTTCTCTATCGTATTTATGCCAATGAATATTTCATTTAATTGAAGCGCATTTATAACCGCCCCACCCCCTGACTCCCAGACAGACCACAGCCTGCTATGCTCCATAACCATGGCCACCACACTTTCGGTGTTGTAATTAAAATAAATTTATTACGTAAAATGTTTATCCGAAAAATTTGTCGAAAATGCTTGGCATTAAATTTTTTTTGCCGTTGTTTTGCTGCGCTACGAAACATAATTTATGGTGTCGCGGCAAAAAAAAACACGCACATGTGTGTTTATGTATATGTGAGTGTGTTTGTTGAACTGTTAATGATGCGCTGTTGGTTGGTTCTCTCGGTTTGTTGCACGGAAATTGATGCGGTTAATATGCCATCTAATTGTTAATTTATTTGACTCTTGCTGTAATTGTTTGTCGGAGGTTCGAATTGCTGTTCAAATTCTGTTTAACCGTTGAGCTGTTTCAATGCACAGCAACAACATCAATTACAACATCAATGGCAAGAGCAACATCAAGAATGCAGAAATTGTATTTGTAAATGTTTGGCATAGCAATGCGCGTTTTGGTGTTTCAGCAAATCGGCAGCAATTGAAATAGCGCGAGTGAATCTTTTGGAAAAACAAACGCGTCCTCGCCATTGATAGTTCAAAAGCGTGGCATACTTTTAGGGGCAAGCTAGCGAGCAATGGCCGCGTAAATTGCGCAAAACCAGCACAACAACAACTATGGCAACAACAGGAAGGGCAATGAAATATTTGCAATCGAAGTCAAAGGCATGGAGCAGTGGTTGATGGTTTGCTCAATGGTTCGGTAGTTTGGTTTTTGGCCAACAAAACTTTACGCTTTAAAGTTGCAGCAGAGAGCGCTTGAATGTCGAGCGGCGTTGTTTTTGTTTTTGTTTGTGTTTCCTTTTGGCATGCCAAATGCATAAGCAACAAAAACAACTGGCAAGCGCCCGTTGTGTCTTCATCTAAGGCAATGAGTGCCATTCTGCGTCCCTTGGCATGCTTTGACCAGCTTCCTCTTTTTTGTTATTGTTGTTGTTGTTGCTGTTCTGGCGTTTGTATTGCAGCCAAAATTGCACAAGAAGTTAACAATTTTGCTTTTGATTTTTTGCCTTGTACTCTGTTCCGTTTTGATTTCGTTTTTTGATTTTGTTTTGCTTGCCTGTTTTTATTGTGGCCCCAAAAACTCGACTTTGCCTGCTTTCTTTTAATTGGAATGTTTTGTGTTGCCATTGGGCTCTATGGTCGGATGCCTGCAGCGTGTTAAGCCGATTAGAACAAGTTCATAATGTATGGTAAATATGGTCGAACAATTGGGCAGGCCTTCGGCGGGAGTGGGATGTGTTATATTCAGCAGCTAGCAGCATTTATTTTCTCTCGATGTCTAATTGCATGCAGAAGGCACTAAAACAACTGTGTGTTCATGCTTGCATGTGTGCAGCATAATAGACAATGCTTTTTATAGCCTGTGCATTCAATTTACAAGGGTATATTAGGTTTGTGCAAAATGAAAAATGAAACAGGCAAAAGGTGGCCATCTCTGTCTCCATACGGACATTATGGACATCTGGATCTCAGTGATTTTAAGAGCTAGGGACATCAAATTTTGCATCCAAATGCTATATATGTGCACGCAGTGTAAGATAATCGAGATTACATTCAGGGCTATAAGTTTCTTAACAATAAATCTGTCATGATGAAACGTAACACGATGGCAGAAAGTAAAAGTAAGTAAAAACTTCCAAGAATTACGGGAGTTATGGAAAATAAGTAATAGCCGCAATTTGAAAAAAAGCACAAACTTTCTCCGTCTTAGGATAATCTGGATATCAAGTTTGATTATTCTAGCTGCGTTCAATAGACAGACATGTGGAGAGAGGGACAGGTTATGTCGAATTCGCTTGACTGATCCTCCTTCTATTCGTAACATTCGCACTAAGCTTGTAAACCCTTTTACAACTTTGCTAAAGAGCATAAAAAATAGCTTGCCACTTGACTACTGTAGCTGTATATTAAGTTCGAAGTGTTTTCAATAAAGTAGCTATGATTGAGAGTGGTTTCGTATCGGATCATTTCTCACGTCATTTTCAGCTAGATAGGAGCTAGTGGGTGAACGGCGCATTGAATTTAGTGGCTGTCTCTCTACATACAAGTATCTCAATAGAAAGTGTCATAAAAGCATCGAATTTATTTACTGTTTTCCCATGATTCCCATGGTACTTAAAAACCTTGGCTGCTTGCTTGATCTTTCGTTTGGTTGATGCAACTGCTGTCACTATTCCTCCATCTCCACCTCCAACCCCCTCCTCCCCTCCACAGCACTGCCCAACGTCAGTGCCACTTCAGTGCATCGTTTTTATGGCCATGTGGCATTCTCTCGTCTGTGCTTGTTCAGTGATTCACTTCACTTATAGCTGGCAGCGTTGTTTGATTTTGATTTTGTAAAATATTTTTCTCTTGCATTTCACATTTTTCTTGCCATGCTGCAGTTTGTTTTGGTATTTTTCTGTTAGTATTTTTTTATGCATGTGCTTAAACGGAACTGTGAGAAGGACGGCAGATGGGAGAGGGCGGTGGCGAGTTCGGGCCATGCATGTATTTGGCGTTGTTGCTGCTGCTTCACGATAGTTGTCGCTTAGGGCGCTTTGTTGTTTTTGATATATGCGGGGCCGGGCGGGCGTAAGCAAAGAGCTGACTATTTTATATGCATTTATCTGTGTGTATGCACGAAAATTTGTGTGTGTCTAGTGATTGTTTGTAAGCGAGCCAAGAGCAATGCCTGGTGCCTAGCTGGCTGGCTGCCTGCTGCCTTCTGCTCATGCATAAAAGGATACAGATGCAAATTGTACACATCCTGCACATGGCTCTCTCTCTCTCTCTCTCTCTCTAGCTGTACGCTTCTGCTGCTTGTCGTCTCTTGCTAGTGTCAGTTGCTGCATTTCTATTTTATTTATAAGAATGCGATGCCCAAACACAAATACACATACACACTTATTCACACAATTCCCGCACTTAAGTGCATAATCAATCAAACTGATTTCATGCAGCCATCTCAGCCTGACAGCAACTGCCCCAGCTTATCGCTAAGAGTAACGTTTAACCCAACATTTACTAGAGAGGAGCGCTCAACGTGAGCATTCTTCAGAGAATCCTTTAAAAGCGTTTTAAAAAAGTAATGCATTTCGATATGATTCCATCTTTCTTTATTCATAATTTTTATTCAACCCTCTACTGCATTGCTTTCAATTGAATATTTCTGTTTGTCCAAGGATGTGTTTCAATTTCAATAAAATTTTCAATATAAGTACACATACAACACAATCTTATTGTCTGGCATTTAGCATGTAGTGACTAGGAATGTAGAAATCGAAGCGTTGTGTTTATCGTTATGGAAACCGAGAACTTTTGAACAACAATAACTACGGATGAGAAACTTAGCAAAATTAAATAATTTGTTTCATCCAGAAGCAGAGCGTGTTTATTACAAACCAAATATATTCACAGTATTTTAGCTTTAAAATCATTCATAGCATTCGATTTATTTTTGCAGATAAAATAAAACTTTGAAATTTTTTCTGTAGTTCGGTTCAACCATGCGCAGCTCTATAGCTTTTGCATATAAGCTTAAAAAAGCAAGCAAGTCCAACAGCCATGGAAATGGAAACTGAGTTTTTTTTTACTTTTTGCGGAAAATAAACAAATAGTTTGTTAAAATTTGATAAACGTCAGCTATCACTTTTAATCATGCTCATACACATATATTTGTACATTCCAATTAGTTTTGATTGTAATATACTAAGTGTACAATTTTATATTGTCGCTGTATATTTCCAACAACTTTTTCATGTCGATTCAACCTTAATTTAATTGAAATATGGTACAGTGTTTGCTGCACATTCCGAGTACTTACCCAGCTTTGTTTGCTGCTGCTGCTTTTGCTGTTGTTGATGCTCCATACGCTGAGGCGGCAGCGGAGGCTTGGCTTTTCGCAACGTGCCATAACGCTGTGCCGCTTGGAGCATCTCGTGTGGCCCCGCTACAGATGCCGGTGGTTGCGCTGAAAAGTTCTGCTGGCTAAGAGAACTGGTCACCGTATTTATATGCGGCGAATAGCCGGCATAGTCCACCACACAGTTGGCCAGGGCATCGCTAAAGGCGGAGGGTGGGCGCTCCACATAGATTTGCTGGCCAGCAGTGGCCTGGAGATGCCACAGTGTGTCCTGCGAGAGATCTCGGGCATTGCTATAGCTGTTCTCACTGGAGGCGGAGGCGTTGGGGTCTCTGCCATTGCTGCTGCCGGCGTAGGGCATGTTGTTGGACCCTAAAAATGAATATCAAAATGCTTAAGTGGCGCCAGCTGCTTGTGTGTACAGATGTGTGTGTGTGCTGCATATGGGTGCGACAGGTGCCAGAGTGAAGTGTGCAAGTCACAATGCTTAATTAGAAACAGAAAGCGCTGAGTCATGGGGCATGGACTGATGAATAGTCCCACACTTTGCTCTTGAGTTACCTGCAAGTTTGCATAATTTGCAAAACGAGGAGGAAGGCCACAAATCACCACAGAGACGACGGAGAGCTAGGGAGTGCTGGGTGCTGATGCGTGCGACATTTGACATGAGCACAGAGATGAGACGACGTGCAGATGTTTTGGAACTGAGCTTGCCCTGTGGCCAGCTGAAACTGGAGCTTTTATTGCACAACAAGAATCGAAAATACACCAGAAAATTTCAGATTCAAAACTTAAACACAAGCTGTAGACATAAGTTCTGATTGGCCATATAAGCTGGATTTCTAAAAGCCCGACTCTCGTTTCATTTTATCCAAAGTGGTGATGGTGGCAGCCACAAGTTTCCTGGAGCCGGTCACCAGTACGTCCAGATCGCTGCGCATGCCGTACTTTTGCTTGCCATACTTATTCTGTAGATATTCGAAGAAGGCGCCAATCGATATCGATAACTGTGAGTTGTCCTTACGACCGCTCTCTTCGCACAGAGCACGCCAGTTGCTGGCATTGCGCTTGGCGCGCTGTAATTCCTCCATGCCGTGCCAGACCATTGATGAGGAATCGTCCTCTTCCAAATTTTCGCCCTCGAAGTAATTGGGACTGGGTACAAAACAGGCCTCTTCAAAGCGCAGATTGTGGCGGAGGACAGTAAGCAGATCCTTGGCATTAAACTCTGTGACCTTATTGAAGAGTAAAATCTTTGGGGTGCGATTGCTTCGGGTTTTTGTGTAGAACCATTCGCGACAGGCCATCATGCTCTCCAGCGAGTCGGCACTGTCCAGATACACATGGAACATATCGTGCTTGATAAACTGAAAATGTCCTGGCTGGTGGAATGTTTCGATGCCGCGAGCGGCTGCCTGAGTTAGCTGGATGGTGTTTGCATCAAAGCCGACTACATACTGCGGCTTGTAGGTCCGCAGATAATCATATGCCAATTGAATGGCCAACGACCCATTGAGCCGCATGCTATGGTGGGCTTTAGTTAGCAATGCCTTGTTGGCCATATTACCATCAATATATGATTGAAAGTTGGGTACACGGTGCAAATCGGCACCCAATTGCTTGGCTCTCTGAGTCAACACTTCACAGCATTCCGGCTGGGTTACGTTGATGAAGATGTTTGCCTTCGGCTTCATTATGGCCGCCTTATTCCAGGCAATGTCCCGCATGGAGCTACTTAGATCGAAGCTCTGCTCCCAGCCCAACGTACTGATGCCAATAGTGCGTGCATGCTCGGTAATATTTGTACAATCGTTAGCACCACCGCTGCCCACCTCTATGATTGCCACTTCCACATTGGCCTCTTGAAAGGCATGGAAGGCCATTATTGTGAGCAGCTTACTGTAGGCAGCTGGAGGCGAAATGTTGCCAGGTCCAGCGCCATCTCGTAACATATGGTTCAGCTTCCAGAAAAGCTCGCTGAACTGGACATCAGATAGCGGCTCGCCATCAATGCGGATCCGCTCGCTGGTAAGAAACATATGTGGGGAGCAGAGTACACCTGTCTTGACGCCATGAGCTCGCAGAATGGACTCTACAATGGCGCAGGTGGAGCCACGGCCCTTGCTTCCAGCTACCTGGATGACTGGTATGCGCTCCAGATCCTTAACGCCTAGTCCTGTTTTCTCCAAGCAGGCTATGGTTTCTTGTATAACGGGACTGGACTGTGCCTTTATTTTCGTTTGAGCACGGCCAGGTGCCGGATCGTGCATTTGATAGGAATTCAATTCCTTCACCGCTGCCAAGTAGGCCTGACGCTCAGGACTCTTGGGGGGTGCAGGCTCAGAGGGCGCCTGCGTTGATGTAGCTGTTTGGTTGGCAGCGGCCATTTGTGGCGAATGTTGAGTACCCGACATGGGCGGTGTTTGCTTCTGCAGCTGTTGGACTCTCTGCTGATGCAACTGACGACCCGCTTCTTGCTTTAATTGCATCTCCTTGAGCCATTCTGATTGTTTTTTCTGCTGAGTACCCTTCATGCGATTAAGCCAGGACTTGCGGTCTTTTTCCGTGGAGGCACCCTTGATTTCAATTTGCTTATCCTCGTCATCCATTTTCGGTTTTTGCCAGCCCTCTTGATTGGTCTGTGAGGCACCAAAGAATTGGTTATTTGCCGACAATGGGTTAGAGTCCGAATGTTGACTCTGATTCGAAGGCATGACTTGTGGCACAGGATTCTGTCCAGCCGCCTTCAATTTGCGCTGCATCTCAGGCGAGACTCGAGCTACCCATTTATCGCGCTGATTGGAGATATTTGGTCGTTCAGCAGGTGCTCCCCTAGCCATTGATTTGGAACCACGATTCTGGTTGACTTGGGGGGCGGGTAACATTCGCCTTTTCTGCTCTATTTGTGGTGGTGGTGGAAGCTTTTGCTTTGGCACAGATGGCATTCGGTCCTTGCTGGCACTGACCTCCTGATGTTGTTGCTGATTATTCGATGGCGGCGTCGCTTGCGGCGATAATTCATGTGGCTTTTCTTCGTCCTGGATCAACTCCTTTATTGACGCAACATTTTTGCGCTGTTTGTCCCGATTGATTAGCGGCTTGAAATTCATTTTGAAAAAGTTGTTGCTGTAAGGCAAATGGGAGGTTGCGGCCAGACAGCTGCGCAGTACACAGGATCGGCGAACAAACAGTTTTGGTAGCGAAAGCATTTTTCAAAATTAATTTTTGTTTTTTTTTTCAATTTTACTGTAAATATGTTGTATTTTTTTTTGGATTTTGTGAAGAATTGGTGTTAAAAATTGACGATTTATGGTCTGAATTGAAACAAAAACTGAGGCGAAAGTGAATAAAGTAATAATTTTGATCGTAACTTTTCGTGTAGAAATTTTTTGTCTTTTCCTTGTTTATATTGAGAGCAGATGACATTCAAGGCGATGCAGGGTATTTACGGATCATTTTCGAATTACTAATATGCTAGCTAGTCGAGCATATAGTTTACCAGCTACATGTTGATAAAAATGTTTAGTAACTTAGTGACTTCCTCGATTAAAGGTAGCAACAAGAAAATAAAACCTTGAGCTGATCTCAAAAAGTATAGGCTCAGGGGAGAATCGGGAGTCTTAATACTAAGTATTAAGTGTTATTAAGGCACATTTTAATGAAACTGCTTAGAAGTTGCAACATAAAGAAAAGGTATAACTAAATAAATCCTCTTCACCATAACTAATACAACGACAATAACAGAAAACTTAGTGCTTAGACTGAGTGCTTGAGTGTGTGCGCGTGCTTGTGTGTAGTTAACGGGTGTGCGGGTGCGGGTGCGGGTGCAAGTGGTGCTTGGAACGTTGTGCGTGGCGCTGCTTGCGGCCTTTGTGGTGCAAAGTTAAAGTGGCAACGCCAACTATGCTTGGCTGTGCTCCACATCCACATCCTCATCCTCATCCTCATTCTGTGCATGCTTCAACTTCCGTTACCTGTGATGGCCAGTGTTGTAGTTGTTGTTGCGGTTTTGGCGTTACGCGAAGTTGTTGTAATTGTCGTTGCGAGCGCTGTGGTGGTTGCTGCCGTAGCTGCGGTCACCTGACTGCGCTTTAAAGTGCCATGACTCCTGTTGCTGTTGTTGTTGGTGTTGTTGTTGGTGCTGCTATTCGTGGTGGGTTGCTTCGTTAGTTTGGCGACGCGTGCTGTGCTGGCTGCTGCCTCAAGTGGTCCTGCTTTGGTTATAACCGCACGCCAGTTGACCACAAAACGTTGGGATAGAGGGATAAATATGCATTTATAGGGTTAGATGAGAAATACTAGTAATTAAGTTGGCTTCGGAATGTACAAAATATGATTATACAATAATATAGATAACAGCTGTGCAATTTACAAAACTGACAGGAGTTAATCGCCTTTGGTTCTGGTCGAATTTGTCTAAGAACAGAGCGAAAAATACAAGTTCTCCGACTTCAGGAAACAACTTCACATGAGAAAAGCTCTCCCTGTCGCTGCTTTTAAGCCAATTAAAATGTTGTCTGTAAGTCGTGCACAAAGAAACGACGGCAAACTGTTTAATTCCTACTTAATTGGAATAACGATGGGACACACACGAGCACTGATACGCACACATCTCAATTGGCCATGGCCAGAAAGCTGGCTGCCTTTGCTGCTACTCCTGTTGCTGCTGCTGCTGCTGCTGCTGCTGTTGATGATGATGATGATGATGGTGATGTCATTTGGTTGCCAAGGCATGCGAGCTGCTTATGCAATGCAATGGGAAAGGCGCTCGAATCGCGGACATATAACACACCAGGGATGGACATGAAATGTGCATATAATGGCTAAAAAAGGCACAACACACAATGATCATGCCGCACAATTATCTATGCTATTTGGCTTTGTTTCCTCCAACACTCTCTGTTGATATACTGTTATTGATAAAGCTAGACTCTTCCTAAAATGTGGATAAGGAAAATCTATGTAAAATGTGAGCATTGATTCAAAGACGGTGATAGTTCTAGACTGACATATGTAAAGAGACTCTGAAAGAGTTCTTTTATGAACAAATTCTTTTTCATGCAGGCACTACAAGTATTTCCAAATTGATGGGATAAGTTGGTCGCGAAAGTTTACGGTTAACTAGGAATATAAACTGTAAAAATGCTGTCTAATAAAAAATATATAAAGTACGGACACAGTACGAGTTGTTAAGTAATAAGTGGCCCATGACCAAAGAGAGAGAAACATGGAATACAGTTTTTGTTGTAAGTCACACTGCACGGCTTATAGCTTCAGCGCAGTCGGAGATAACTTCTTAGGTTAACAATTACTATGCTGGTAACACAGTAGAAGAAATATTTTATATGTTGTGTGCAAACATAATCTCTTTTGATTATATTTTTCCTACTATACTGATGTCGTTAATTCTATACTTGTAAAGCGTTTCAATATGGTTGCTCAAATTTGTGCGACTCGCCATCCCTGAGAAATGCGAATGCTGCATTTGCATGAGTAGCTCAACGTGGCTGCGTGGACAGCAGAATGAACGGCATCGTGGCCTAGTAGATTGACATAAAATGCAATTATGCCAAACGAGGGACGAACACATAGAGAGACGTATGGTAGGAGGGTAGCATCGAAATGGCCGCCATAAATCTGCACCGAAAAATGCGTCACTTAATGAAGACGCGAGCACACAGCTCCCGAAAAATTCCACCCACTCCAGCCTTCACGCGGGGGGATCACACGCATCATAAGTCGATTGCCCTTTCCCTTCGTTTCATTGTTGCCCACCCCTACTTACACTCTCCATGTCCAGCGGCCGACGGCAGCACTTGATAGCTGTCGCCATCCACACCAATGGCACTTGTCACATGATAGCCATATCCATTCTGCTGCTGCTGGACGGCGCCGTAGAGACCATGTGAAGCTTTTTGCTGCTGCTGCTGCTGTTGCTGCTGCGTGGAATAGTGAGCTGCATGCGTCTCGCCTTGCTGCATGTTCAGCTGCTCGTCGGGATCGTGGAGGGCACTGAGTGTCAGTTCCATACCATGGCCAGTGTCGAGTTGCTTGCTGTCCAGGCTGCCAGTGGGATAGTAGGGAGGTGGTGGGGGCTGGCCTGTAATGCTTGATGTTGACTGTGGGGCGCTGCCAGCAGTGGTTGTTTGTGCCACCAACGAAGGCCTGCCCGAGTCCAGTTCATATTCCTTTCCAGTCGCGGAGGTTGCGTTTGCGGCTGCTGATGCAGCATGTTTCTTGGCCGCATGCCTGCGTCGACAGCGGCAGAAAGCGTAGAGTAAGCCGAGGAAGAGTAGAAACGAGAGCGCAGCAATGACAATAGCCACCACCGCGGATGTGGTCAGTGTGGAGCTGTTGGGCATATACGACTTTCCAACTGAAAATAAGCGAATTAGATAATTATTAGAGATTGAAGAGCGAAAATGATATAGCTACATATAAAGGGTTGCTGAATAATTGACTCTTCCACACTTACTTTCTGCATTCGCATAAGCGCCGCAATGCTCGTGATTATTGCGGAGGCACAGCTTGACACGCACGGATGGACCCTGACCCGCAGTTTCGGCCAGGGCCATTGTGATATCCTCGCCCATCTGTGCACCTCCTACGGAGCTGCTGCCCCCCAAGCTGCGGCCGGACGTGGCTGTCGTGTAGTGAGCCGTGCGAGCCATATGATTTATGACGGCCTCCTTGAAAGTGGCCTCGTTTCCTGAGGGCAGCAGCGTCAGCGTATCCACAATCTCCCAGGTGGCGACGGGTGTCTGACGATTGACCAACGACTCGACAACGGCAATTAGTGAGAGACACGTGGCCGCCACGTTAATACCCAGCACGTGAGAATTAGGATCATAGGTTACATGCAACGGCGGTGGAATTTTGCTGACCTTCGTGGTGGCCAGAACCTCATTGGAGTAACCTGAAGTGCCTTTGGAGTTTAGAGCATACAACTTAAAGGCGTAGCTCTGATGTTGATCCAATGGAGCTAACTTGCAGGGATTCTCTCGAAAGCAATTAAATTCAATCCACTCGTGTGCTCCACTGGCAGGACTAATCTGATAGCTGCCTGTGAAGCCCCCTCCGCCGCTGCAATCGCTGAGCAGTTGCTCGCGAGGAGTTGCAACGCGACGATAGCTAACAAGATACTTGGTGCTCATGAGGCCGCCATTGAAGCCTGGCATCCAGCCGAGAACCACATAGTTGTGAGCCACTTCGAGAACTTTAAGCGAAGTAGGGCGCTCCGGCGGTCCTTTGGGCTGTAACCGGATTTGAGTGCGAATAGCGTCTAGGGGATTGACGGCTCGACATGTGTATTCGCCATAATCGGAGTGGAGCAAGTGACCTATTCGCAGGACCGAGATGTACACATCATTATTATCCATGCGTGTGCTTATCTCATAGTGGCCATCAGAAGACATTGTCAACGGCGAGGGATTGTTGCCGAATTGCCATTGGAATTCCGGCTTAGGATATGCCTGTACCTTGCAAACTACCTCGGCAGACTCGCGTACATCATAGGCCACCTTGTTGTACTGATGCAGCACAATGGGTTCATGCTCAATGCGTAGATGCATCGAGGAGTTCGCCGAGTTCACTTCGTTTTCGTAGAGGCAGGTATAGAGACCCCGATCACCAGGAACCAACTGATTGCCATTTGGCCTGCCTTTGCCACGGAACTTAAGTATGCTTTGCACAGTAATTACACCGCCTCCCACATCACTTGGTGTGGTTCGAATGTCGTACATTTTTCGCGTGGGCAGAATTTCTGTGCCATCCTTGATCCATCTTATAAGAGGTGTAGGTTTGCCCTTGGCACTGCATGTGACTGCATAGTCCACATCTCCAACACGCCGCGTTTGATGCTGCTGCAGTTTGGCTAGGAACTGAGGGGGCTGATGAACTTCTAGAATAATGGTGGCCATTTTGCCAATTCCCAGCTCATTCACCGCATGGCAATGATACTTGCCCTCGCTGCCCAAATGTGCCTTGGGAATGGAGTATTGCGGACCCTGCGCCAGAATTTTTTGCGTATTCGACATCTCCCCATCCATGTCACGGAACCAACGGTACTGAGGAACTGGCCAGCCTGGTGGATTGGCCGAGCAGCTGAGGGTTACTCCGTTGCCTACATGCACTACCGGTTTGTTGGGTGTTATATAGGCCTGGCCAGGGCGATGACGTACCAGCAGAGCCACCGTCGAATTACCCACACCCTCGACACGCTTTGAGTTATACGGCTGCATTATGTTGACGGACCGACAAATGTAATTTCCAGCATGCTCCGCGCGCACTGAGACCAGGGTGAGCAGCTCACCCGTGTAACGGAAATCAGGTGCTCCTTCCTTCAACCACTCAATAGTTATCGGCGGTGGATTGGCCGTCACATTGCAACGGACCAAAACGGTTTCACCTTCTTCGGCTTCGTGCGTCTTGGACTCGATTACCACCACCGGTGCATATAGCACGTCCAGCACAATGTCCTTTTCACCTGTCTTTCCCAGTCCGTTGTCAGCGCTGCATGTATATTTGCCCGCGTGATGGCGACTCACTCGATAGATCGTGTGACTAGGCGTCGCACTCACATACTGACCATTGCGTGACCATCGGACACTTGTGACCATCGGCTTGGCATCCACACGGCAGTCCAGCTTGGCGATGTGATCGCGTTCAATGCGTAATGGGTTTTGTGGGCCGACCTCAACTCGGGGGTAATCTGTGCGTAAGAAAGAGAAGAAGCAGAGAGGGGGTTGGTTAAGAGGTAGCGGGTCAATTAAGGCGCCAGACCATTAGCTTGCCAATAACCGTTTTCAATTACACGACGACGCTGCAGCACATTGACGAGCTTCAGCGTTCAGCGTGACCCATCGACATTTTAAATAATGCCAATTTCGAGCAATAACAACAACAAGAACAACAACAATGCAAGCACTACAATATTGCACCATTAACTCCAGTGTTGTGGCGGCGTCAGCGGTCATTTGGTTTTGAGTGCCTCTGTCCGTTACTGCTTCGGCTTCGTTCTGCTTGACTACAGTTTTGGAATGGGCATGGACATGGACATGAGATGGGATGGGATGGGATGGGATTGGTTTGGTCTCGTTGGCCACTCACCCAGTTAGTCAAGCGTGCAGCATAATAGTTACCCCATCATTGTTTTTTGTTGCTGCTGCCATTCCCGTGGCAATTAACTTTCGAACACTTTACTTTAATCACCAGTTGCCCAAACAGGCCAACTAATCCTAGTAAATGTTCCGCGTCATGGTTCAATGCAAAAAATAACGAAAACACAAATCGAGGCCTCCTAAAAGCAGGAGCACACCGAATATTCGTTGCACGGCCCAATTACGCGGTCAGCATTAAAGCGGAGCATGGGTGTGTGTTCGAGTACACCGTGGAAAAGGTGTGTAATAAATGCTTAGACACACTATAAAGCTAATCCGATCAAATCATTGTAGTCCATTAAATGTGTTAGTTCTTGCTGCGGGTATGACACAAATCTGATTATAGTTTATGTATAATCGGCAAGCTGGTCAGTACGATCCAAAATTAATAGTTAATAATTCTTATGAACCGCCAGAAGTTTTTTATTGTTTAATTTCAATAATCAAGATATCATAGTTTCAAACTGCACACAGAAACTGTAACTTTAAGCTACAGCAATTAAATTTTTGATTAAATAATTCATGATTCGCTAGAACTTAAAAACAGGCGTTAAAACAGAAAACTTCAACATATCTGGCTCAGTTCCATTTTAAGATGGAAAAGTGCTCCATAATAATGAATGTGTGGTCGACTTGAGATTGCGAAATATTTTACTAAGGATTCATCAGCATGGCTCTACCGGTTAAAATGTCCAAGTCTGCCTACCAGTTTAATAAAATGGCAGATATTCTAAAGAACAGTTTCTGAACTCTTCCACCTATCAAAATATGTATATAATAAACTTAATTTCTATCATAAAGCTGCTGTCAGAGAGTTCGAGCTACCACTGAGAAGTAACTCCCAAAGACGTTTAATGTAGTGGAAAAATGTAGTCCTGTATATAAATTGATTGATTTAATGTAATTCCTTTAGATCAGCAACTAGTCGTGAAATGAGATGAATTAATAAATAAAATAAACAACTGCTCTTCGATTAGGAATTGCCTATTCAATCAGTAAAAATTCAAACAATTTATCTATTTATTTAATTATTATTATCAGTGTGGCTGCAATGTAAAATATACTCGTAAAAATATATATATACCTATATTTAAATATATAGCTATATTAAATTTGTTAGTTTAAAAGATGTAAACCAAGCTCAAAGTTGTATTTATATTCTTGAATATTTGCAAAAACGACAGTTTGTGCCTTTATTAAAGTTCAAGATATTACAAATGCAGTATAATACAAATTCTGCTGAGTGCCAGAGCTCCAGAAATGTTCCCTAAGTTTGCTTGGCCTTATTAAGGATTGAATGCGAAATGAACCCAGTATGCTGACCGACTTTATATTGCGTTCATTTTCACAGTGCACGGGAGTGCTTGTGTGTATGTGTGTATGTGTGTGTGTGTGAGTTGTGCGCCTATGTGTGCTGGTGTGTGTAATTATAAAATAAAATTTAATGAGCAACGCTTGTCAAGCAAAACAAGTTTGCATTTCAACACATGCTGCCGGCTCGGCTGGCCGTCCATCGGTCCTTTCGCCTCCTAGCGCGTCATTCCTGCTTTGGCTGTTAACTTTCGTCCGTTTTCGTGCTCAGCCAGCCGTGCAGTTTCACGCTGACGGGTGCTCGTCCACCCAACCACCTAGCCACCCAACCACATAGCCACCAGCGACCTAACCACCTGACCGGGCTGGTCGCCCTGCGCCTCTGACTTGCTGACATTGCTGTAAAGTTGTGCGTGTGCCCTTTTTTAAAGTTTGTGAGCTGACTGGCTTTATTTTTTGTTGCTTCTATCGTAAATGAGCTGAAGGCCTGCGTTGCTGCTCCTGTTGCTGGCATGTTCACATGCATGTTGCCACGCCCCCTTCCCCCCCTCTGGTATACACTGATTTTATGACTGGCTACATTAGTGCCATAAAATATGCGATGCACCTGACCCGCCGCCGTTGGCATCCGGCTAGGTAGCGTTAAATAAAAATGAGCGCTCACTTCGCCACTGCCGCGTATGCATGTATGTAGTTGTGTGTGTGTGTGTGTGTGTGTGTGTATATGCGTTGCGCATACGCCGCGTTGACTTATGGCTGTTGGGCATTTGCAGCAAAATTAAATTATTTAACCCGCCTCTACTTGCATTTTTTGTTGTTGTTTTAATATTTAATTTTTTTCGCTGCGGCCGGAACTGGGCGGCAGTGTTGTTGTAGTTGTTGGCTACAGGAAGTATCACACCTGGCGTAGCAAGTTATTTAAATAAAAATAATGAGTCAAGTTTTTAACATGACTTTAAATGCAGGCCGGCTGTGTGCATCTTGGCTAAATTGAAAAGTTGTGCCACAGCACCTGCTCTCGTAGAACACACACAAACACACACACACACACCTTCTCTCACGTGAGTTCCGGTGTGCGTGCCGGCAACACCTTCCGCCATCGTTCGCCTGATGGCAAATGCCACACAAAATGCTGCGCTGCACAAAATAAATATCGAAATTCCATTTGCTGTAGCTCAACTCAGCTCAGCCCAACTCAATTCGTTTCGTTTCGTTTGTGAGCGTAAAATTAAGCGTACATATGTGAGCATTTGGGTGTGTGTGTGTGTGTGACGATATACAAGTATATAAAAATTGCAGCACACTGTTTGGGTAACGAATTGTATTTTCGCCCATAGGTGTCATATGCCGTTAAAATTAATTGAATTGGCTTTTTGTCGATCAGCAACTGCAACATGAAAAGCGACAAAGCGCGTTCACTTTGCGGTTGCACACAATACTGATGAAGTGGTCAGGTCGGATGGAGGGAGTTGGGGAGCGGGAGAACTAAAATGAGGAATTGAATCATTGGATACTGCCGGCTTCACTTATGTAGTTAATTGAAAAGGGGTGTTGGGCTACATGGGAGTGGGTGAGGGTGGGGCAAGAGCAAGCAATTAATTTGCTTTGTGACAAAAGCTGTAAATCGCTTTGGCCAACCATTTGTAGTTTTTGAACTCCCCAACTTTCTCGCCAACATCCAAGTATAACATTTGCGTCTATAATTGCGCTTTAGCGGCATAAATAGCAACTTAAAGTTAAGAGTTTGAGCGCAACGCGTTAAGTTGCGCACTTGGCTAAGATTTCTCTGAAAGTTGTTCATCTCTTCACGTGGCCGTTGAAGTGGCCGACAAGTGGAAGAGGCAAGTGGTGGAAGGTATGTAGTAGTGGTAGACGTAGACGTAGTCGGCGGCAGCTAATGCTGCAACACAATCTTGCATTCATTAAAATGTTGTTAAGGGCTGCCGACACAGCAGACGTTGTTGCAGTTTACAGTTTTACGAACCTCTACCGCATCCAAATTTAACTTGACTGCAATGGCATTGATGCAAAAGTTGGACGCTGCAAATGTTGAGCTGCTGCTGAAGGCTACAACATGATATACAAAATGTCTAGCAGCACACACCCACACGACATAGAAAGTCGGCCACAGCTATACAAGCGGAAACACAAACAATAGCAAAGGGCTCGTCCCAGAGAAAGCAACTAGAAACTGGGCGCTGGACTTCAACTTGTATGAGTCTGTGAGTGTGTATATATGTATGTATCTTGCAAGCCCGCGGCACTAACAAAACTTGAAATCAGCTTAAGAAAACTGAATGCTGCTCGGGAAGCAAAGCAGAATCAGAAGGAGAAGCAGTGGCAGGACAAATCTTGGTCTGAAAATCTTCAAGAATAATAAACAGAGTGGAGCAACTTTAACGACTGCTATTGTCTGACTGACTGTTCATTGATTTGGCCATCTTGGGTGGTCGGACAGTATCTTTTCATCCACGTCTATCTGTCTCTGCATTTATTCTGTGGCTATTCAAATGACTGCGGTACAGTTGTGGCGATAACTATGGGCCAACAATGAAATGTCTTTCCAAACTGACACTAATTGCAATTGTCTGCGACACTTGCAGGTGTCGGTGTCATCTGTGCGCAAATGGCATCAGAATATATTCTGGCCAAACTCAGCAGACATTATGCTATAGTGGTTTTTGGCACTGTACCTTTCGTTATGCTATCGGCATATAATCAAAGCGGACAAGCCACAAAGGCGCCAAGGCACAAGAGCTCGATGTTATTGGCAAGCTGCAACAGAAAATGCATTGCAGACTAAAAATACGAAATGAAAAAATGCCTGTGGCTGCCCAGGGGAATGCAAAAAAGATGAAATTTATGTTTTCAACAGAAGGTGGATACTTAAAAGATAAAAAACCTCTGAATATCAAATAACAGAAAGGTATGTAAATTTAAAATGTGTCTACACTTTTATTCGAAGCTGTCTGCACTATATTTGTTTCGAAACTCAACGAGCAAAATTGTCTTAACATATTTCTTTTGAAATTCCAATGAAATTTGTTTGAAATGTTTATATTAAATTTATGTTGATTTGTTTTACATTAAACTATTTGTGTCAAAGAAGTAATTGTGTTACTAAATACGAATACTTCTCTGAATTATGTTTATTTTAGAGATTTAATGCTTGAGACTATGACAATACTTGCTTTTGAATGCTTGGCTTATACTTGGTAGTGTAATTTAATATCGATTGCGA